GCGGGGCGGCTGCCGGGGGGATGGGAGGGGTCCCCCAGAGCCGAGCCCCCAGGAGGCTTCGATGGCACGAGGGGAACGCGAGGCTGGCTGGGAGGAGGCAGGGGATGGGGCCGTAGAGGGGACAGGTGGCTCCAAACCAACCAGGCAGCAGCCGAGATGCCAGAGGGGTGGCTGCGGAAGGGGACAAGGCAGAGGGGACAGCAAGCGGGAGCCATACCCCAGATTATGTACACCCCAGACATACACATCCCACGAATATACATATATATACACACCCCAGATATATACATCCTGTAAATATGTGTGTATATATATATACACACACATCCCATAAATATATAGATACACCCTAGATATACGCCCCCCATAAATATATATATATATACAGCCCAGCTGTAAGATTTAAAACCCCAGTTACTAATGGGGCTGGCTGCAGCTCACCCTTCCATCCACCTGCCCATGCTTTGATGTGACGATGGAAGGAGCTGGCTAATCCCCCCCGAAGCATCATCCCGGCGAGATGCCTCTCCCCTGGGCTCTCCCTGCATCCCTGTGGGCGATGTGTGCATCCCCTTGCCCAACCCCTTGCCCACAGGGACCCAGCGAGTCCCTGGGGACTTCCCGGCGTGGGAGAGGAGGGGAAGAAAAGGCATCCCTGGGGAGGCAGCAGCCACAGAGAATCACTATACCACATCACTGAGATCTTAGGCAGCCGTTGGCGCAGGCACATGGTGGCAATAATGAAGTGCGGTATTTAGGCCATTAAAATTTAACTCCTTAAATTAAAAGGGTTATTCAAGCCTTTCCAACAGAGCCAAGGAACGTGGCTGCAGGCAGATGGGAGGCAACGCCTGCCTGCAGTGTGGTGACGGGGGACACACCCCCTGCCCATTGCCTTGGATGGGGCTGAGCTGCAGTGGGGCTCCCAAGAGACCCAGCGGGTCACCTCCAGCCCCTGCCCTGGGGACAGGATCCTGCCCTTCCCCTAGCTAAAGAACCCCTTGGCAAGCCAATGCTTGACTAAGGGAAGAGCCAAGAATGTCACCACCAGCTTTGCATTGCCATGCCACCCTGGGGTCCCCCCTGTGTCCCCATGCTGCACCCCATTAAGCACCACAGCCCGCTCTGACCCGGCGACCAGCAAGTTGCCAGCGCAGCAACATCAATCACAAGGAATTCCCATCATGCTAACGATCAGTGGGTTGGGATGGGGTGGCCTCATACTGGGACAAGCTGAAGGCCCCAGGGCAGGGAGCTGCTGTGGAGCCGTGTGCCGGAGCCCAGGGGATGTCAGAGCGATGGGGCAGCTTCAGAGCCACATCTCCAATTAAGGGCAAGCCCAGGCGTCCCTCCCAGCCCTCTTGCTTTGACAGCAAGATGCCTGGAAACCCGGCTAATCTAAACACCATCGTTTCAGGGAGCTGTCAGAGCTCCCATCCCGCCTGCTCGCCCCTTTAACCGCTTCAGCCCTGTCCCCTGCCCAGAGCCACCATGCAGGAATGGGGCAGCAAAGGGCTGGGGCAGACCAATGCTTGCTCGAAGGGGGTGAAAGTTTGGTTCTCCATAAAATTAAAAGATGAAATCCAGCCCCCCCACGGATGCAGGGAGCCCTGAGCGGGGAGTGCTGCTGTCCCCCTCCCGTCACCCAGACGTGCTGAGCACTGTCCTGCTGCGTTCAATTAAGCAGGTGCTTCTTCATTAAGCACCAGTGATTCGCTTTATTAGCTTTGGGCAGACACGGGGCCCCAGCAGGGAAGAGTATTGTGTCTCGTTCCACTTCCAGCAACTGGGACAGAGCCGGAGCCAGGGAAGAAGCCAGCCAAGGTTGGGGAGAGCGATGCTCTGAGGGGCTCTGCCCTGCTTTTCGGCTCGCGGGGCCAGATCAGTGCCTCTCCCACAGCTGTGAGGAGGGCAGAGACCCTCTGTCCTTCCTTCCCACCCTCCTCTTGCTCCGCTCCCTTCCCCTCTCCTTCCCAAGGCTTTCCGCCACCCTTCCTCCCCACGAGATGCCCCGGCTTGACCTGCCTGCCCGAGCATCCCTGGCCTGGCCCAGCAGCTGGAATCCTTTAGAAATTTGCAGAGGAAGTACAGATAAAATTAGAATGGAGGGGAGAGGGAGGAGAGAGCGGAGAAGGCAGGAC